TAATTACTTCATACCTCACCCTGTAGCCTCAGAGCTAGTGCACCCTTCCTCTGCAGGGAAGAATGGCTAGTGGATATTGTTTCAGATTCATCTTTCCCATAATGGCTGCATCCAGGCAAGCACTGATGTTTGCTTACCTGGGGACAAGTAGCAGTGGCATACCTTTTGCCCATGCTTTGCAAACTCTGGCATGCAGCAAGCTACCCTGGGTGGGGTTGGGGAGGCTGGGACCAGCCGGTCACCTCGGGGCGTTTTTCCTTGGTGTCCTTCGCGTGCGTCTCTGGGTGGAGCACCACTGGGCAGTGGCCGCCGGCAAGCTCAAGCAGTTTGTCAGCCGGTGGGCGCTGTTCGGGGTGCTCTGCTCACTGACCCCCGGGGGAGCACTTGTTTTGAACCTTTGACCCCGCACGCACACCCTGTTTTCTTTTGAGTTGTCCCACGTAATATTTAGGTAACTTTCGGGAGCCCAGCCGCCCAATTTTTGATTGAGTGGCGGCCCCTGACGAATTTTTTTAAAGTTCCAGCAACACCTGTCCGGTCACCAGCCGGACGCCGGTACCACCATTGGCCACCCGACCGGGGTGGCCCAAAGATCCATTTGAACTTACTTCGGCCATCAATAGTACCAGCAACTGTGCTGGCCCCAGCAGCTTTACCTGGGGTTCTGGGGGCACTGGGGAGCTGTAGCCACAGCGCTCCTGCAGCTGGGAGCCTGGTCAGCTCTGGTTTTGGGTGACAAGCGCTGCCACCACACTTTTTTTTGTTGGACCCCAGGATGTCCCTGGGTCAAAAAACCCACCTGCACTGCAAGGTAGCAGTGTGGGAAATGTCTGCATGTATGGCGTGTGGTGCTGCAGATGGGTCTGTGGCACTACATACCACACATCCGTGCTCATCTGGATGTGGCCAATGTGCCCGTTCCTCCTTTACTCCTTTCCCCCTGAGCAAGGATACACACAGAGTGCAGCTCCACTGATTCTGATTCTTGCTACTGACTCACTTTGTGACGCGTAGCAAATTGCTTGGCATTTTGTTGTATCCCTTTGCTTAGCATCATGTTGTATCATATTTTCTATCCTGAAGGGAAAATCTAAAATTAAAAATTAAAAAAAAAATCCCTTTCCTGGCTCTGTTGTGTCCTGGGAAAAGGATGTTTCTTTTTTGTGATTAAGAGACTTCACTTCAAAGCATCCCAGCAGTATCTCTCAGTGGGGTACCTCTCTGCAAGGTTATTAATAAGAAATAATTGTTCTAGGTGTTGAAAATTAAATACACTCTCTCTTCTGCAGCAAAGTCCTTCTCTAAATAATCAATTCATCCTTTTTTGCTGTTAATAAGGAATAACAAATGCTTTTATAGTGCTTTTCATCCCTAGATCTCAAAGCACTTTTTAAAAAGGATACAAAAATATTGTTACTCTCTTTGATAAAATATGGGGTTTGAGGTTATACTTTTTGTAAGGAGTGACTGCTTTCTGCAGAATTTATTTTTAGTCAAAAAAATTAAATGCCCAAACCATCTCAAGGACTAGTAAAAAAAGCCAGGTTATTCTTATTCTGAAAAGTGGTGCACAGCTTTGAGGATTGTTAGTGCCTCATAATACTCCACTGTGAATCAAGAGACTGCTTATGTGATCCCCATGGCTCACTTTTCTTCCATCTTATAAGAGGGAGGCCAAGGAACAAAATGGGAAAAGCCTAACAAGTGAAGCCAGCTTATGTAAGAGAACAGGAGCCTGAGAAATAGTGGCAACTTTAAAATGGAAATACTTCATTTAAAAAGTCAACTGCAAGTGTGTGTGCGTGCATACACATGCGCAGGCATGCATTTACAGGGAAATATTCCTTTTTTTACTAGCTCTGTTTTATGAGCTCCATCTTGCAGATGGAGAAACCAAGGCTTAAAGAGGCATATGACTTGTCCAAGAGGCAGAATTGGAAACATTACCAATGTTTGTTGCTTCACAGCCTGATATTCCTTCCATGGGATCATTGCCTCCATTTGAAAGCCAGCTGGATCTTTTAGCACTGTACTTGACACAAAAATAAGGGCTACTATTGGATGATCCTCTTGTGCAAACATTTTAAATGTGCCTAATTACTTGGTCTAGCTCTAGTAACAGAAAGTAAGATAGCTGGTAACACATCTTTATTAGCAGGAAGCAATTTGATAGGTTCTAAATGCTTGTAGGATTGTGACCTTTGTTCAGCGTCTATCACACCAAACTAATATTGGTGTCAAGGGTGTTTGGAGACCTGCAGATAACAAGGGATCTGGATGAAACTTTGTTGTACACACCTCCTTGTTTGGTCCCACAAAAGGAGAATAAATGATTTGCTCAGGTCACAGAAGATGGCAATGGTAGGGAGGAAACTGAGTTTGGGTCTCCCAGGTTTTAGGCTAAATACCCTTACTACTGAGCAAACAGCTTTGTCTACTGAGCCCATAGAAGGCCAACACAAGTAAGATACAACTAGTATTCTGCATTCTCAGTTTCTATTAACAAAAAATCCAGGAATTTTTCGAGGTTTATCTTTGAAATAAAACTGGGATAAAATCAGTATAAAAGGGAAAAAATCAGTTTAAATCAGCAGTGACCGAGGGAGGAAGGCTGGGACTAGGGGAGGGGCACAGCACAGCCCGTTGGCTGGTCCTGGGGCTGCAGCAGGGAGCAAAGTGGGAGGAGCTGTCAGCCAGTGTGGGGCATAGCTCGTACTGCTATGCACCCACTGGGAGGGCTGTGGGTGCATGCCCTTGGATCAGTGGCAGGAAGCACATAGTGCCACACCCTGCCTTTCTTCCCTGGCTACATTTGTGCCCCTCCCCCCTGCTGCAGCAGCCTGCTGCCACAGCCCTGCATTTGGGGGGATAGGGGAGTAGCATGTGGCTGGATGTGGAGGCAGGGGACCCGACCCCAGCACCTCCTGCCCCACCTGGGGTCAGAGCCGGGAGCCCTGCACCCCCAGGCAGCAGCTCCAGCCCCACAGGCCCATACCCCCCGCCCTGCATGTGGCCGCTGCCCTCCCACCCCCGTCCAGTCAGTAACCTGTGCCTTGGGTAACCGGCACAGCAGCACTTCTAACTTACCGGCACCACCCATTTTTCAGTTCAAATCCCTGTTGACCAAGGTAAGTGGGGAATGGGCCATTCCCCACTTGTGCTGGCTAACAGGGATTTGAACTGAAAAATGGGTATAAATCAGTGAAACCTGAATGACTTAAAAAAATCAGGGAATTTATCAGTGAAAATTGGTGAAAAACAGAATGCAGAACACTAGATACAACTCACAGGGAGTGCCCAAAAAAGGGGTTAACTGTTATTTATTCATAAGAATGAGCCAAAGAGTGGAGTAAACACTGACATTAGAGGAAGTTGCTGCAGTGCACAAGAGCCCTACACTCACATTTTCACTCCAAGGTGAGGTTTTCTGTATGTAGAGCTGACTTTTTATGTTTATCTTTTCTTAATATGTTAAAACAAAGTAATAGATCAAGGCTGATCCTACAGCTACTATGCACACTAGAAAGCCCTGTTCATATTAACTGCCCTGGTGGCTTCAGTGGTGTTACCCATATGAATCTGCATCACATGCAACTTGCATATTCTGGCTGATGGCCTGAAACAGCTTTATTTAGAGTTCCTACAAGAGTGTGTACATGCCTGGGCTGACAAGGTTTCTAGAATGTGCTTCCCAGATGAGATGCAAGGTGTTGCATTTAATGATGATGTTATAACTAGACAAGATGTTAAGAAGTTCTCCTGAAGCACATGAAAAACAGTGCTCTCCTACCTCTTTGGAGGGAGGGGTGAAGTGCAAAGTTACTGAACACAGAACAGATAATGATGGTAATGATAGCTGCTTTGGAGAAGTAGATTTGCAGAGCAACCCTGCTTTACAGAAGGATGTTTGACTGTGGCACCAAAAAAATGCTCTAGAATGGTCAGAGAATTGAGGCATGAAGATCTGGACAGGGGCTTTTTGGGGTTTATTTTTCATCACTAGTGGTATAATTCTCATACCAGTGAGCAGTGTTTTTAGGAAGCCTGTGTCAAAACCTATCCATGCATCTGTTCACGTTTATCATATTCTTTTGAAGTGCTAAAACTTTGAGCTAGAAGGCTTATAACTTCCATGGGGAGATCTGGGAGAAAGTATGTTTAAGCTTCAGTAGAGCCTGAGAGGTCAGCAATAGCTCAAGGGCTCAGACAGTTGAAGCAAAGGATCCAGTGCTCAGGCTGGTGGATTCATAGCTGGGATGCATGGAAAGACCTCAGCCCCAGACCTTGGTCCTACTTGAGAGTTAAACTCACAAACCCAGTGGATTGGGACCCACCACAAGAGTCTGGTGAGTGTCCAAAGTAGAGCTCAGGCCTGTGATGGTATGAATTATACTGTATGATACCACAGCAAATCATAAGCCAAAGAGTTGGGGTGAAATGAAACCTTAGCTCTGCTAGAGTTAACAGTAACGCTGGGATCGAGTTCCTTGGCCTGGAACTTCAGCCATGGTCACCACCTGCCCAGAGGCTTTCTCCCGCCCTTGTCACCTCTCCTCAGCCCCAGACCCTCTCGCCTCATGGTCCAAGCCTACTTCCCTTTCCCTCCCCCATATAAAAAAGGCTCTTGCTGAAGTAAAAGGGACTCTGCTCGGGCAAGGGCTTCAGGACTGCTGCTTGGGCTTCCCCGCCCATCCTGCCGCCCCGCAGCGCTAGCCGCGGCCCGCGGAAGATGCTAGGCGCCCCGGGCTGAGGATCCGCGGGAGAGAAACGCCCCGGCTAAAGGGGCAGGCGGGCCCACAGGCTCGGCTCGGCTCGGCTCGGCTCTGCCTGAAGCCCGCAAGCAGCT